GTTGAGATTCCACATTGACTACTGCAACATCTCAACTGGGATACTGTGAATTTCATCTTGAATTCTAAATAGCGAAATGTTTACTTGCTTAAGGTCACTGTCTCGCAGTATTGCCAATTGCTCATCTCTGGCAATACACACTTCAAAAATCCCCGTTTTTTTTTGGTCACCCTGTATAAGTAAATACCATAAAACATTATTAATAACATTTAACATCTGTCTATACTTCTGAGGTATTTTAGCTATTTACACTAACATTCTTCGGACTGTTGTCCTCATCACGACGTTTCAGTTGTTGGAAGCTCTGACCTTCTTCAGGAGATACACATTTGAATTTCGAACCGTCTCTTTATTTAGCCCACGGGGTCGGGTAGATTGTTCTAGTACCATGTGTCATGCCATTTCTAGGTACTTCAGGCATGACGATTATTGAACTCACAACTCATGCGGTCAAATTACCGGATTAGTTCAACTAACGCTTGGGGACACATGGCTCAGTGGGTAAAAGCGTTGGTTAATTTCAACGTATGTTACCTGACGAAAGCCGGTGCGTACAACGGCTGAAACGTTGTGAATATGACAATAAAGATGAGTATGACAGTCTGAACACTGTAAATAGAGTAAATAAAAACGTTTAATAAAGCTTCATACTGGAAAAAGAAAATAGCAATTAAGCTGAAAATAAATAAATACCCGTCAAAAATAATCATTTATTATATGGAATCAAATAAAAATATAGATTAAATTTGATAATACTGAAATAATCATAATAATTGTTGATATCACTTCGTCAAATGAAAGAATATGAAAACAATTCACTTATGTGTCATGCGTGATACACGCTTAGGCGATCGTGTATGTTTCGATATATGACTGACGAGGCAGATTTTTTCCAGCAGTAGGTTGCCATTTCTTTCTGCAGTAGACCAGTTGCCATCCAAGGCTATAGAACCCGGTCTGCCCTGCTATTTACCCATAGCCGGAGAAAAAAGAAGATTGATACCTTTTCCCAAGGGTATTAGCACGTCAGTCAGTTAGTTATGTGCCATGCGTGATACACGCTTAGGCGATCATGTATCTTTCGATACATGACTGACGAGGCAGGTTTTTTCCTGCAGTAGGTTGCCATTTCTTTCTGGAGTAGACCAGTTGCCATCCAAGGCTATAGAACCTGGTCTGCCCTGCTATTTACCCATAGCCGGAGAAAAAAGAAGATTGATACCTTTTCCCAAGGGTATTAGCACGTCAGTCAGTCTGTTATGTGCCATGCGTGATACACGCTTAGGCGATCATGTATCTTTCGATACATGACTGACGAGGCAGGTTTTTTCCAGCCGTAGGTTGCCATTTCTTTCTGCGGTATACCACTTGCCATCCAAGGCTATAGAACCCAGTCTGTCCTACTATTTACCCATAGATGGGGGAAGGGGAAGAGGATTCATACTTTCACCAATGAGGTTGCCATTTTCTGCGTCATTAGTACGAAGGGGAATGCTGCAGAACATGACACTGAGTATAGATAAGTCAGAAGAATGGATAAAAATGAACGGGATTCAAGAAGATGGGAGATGGCGATTGACGTTGCATTTAAATTTTTGAAGAATGTAGTTATCAAGGAAGCAAGTTCCACAGACAGGAAGTGCTAGAAAAAAAACTGTTGGAGGGGAAGTGGTGGTTACATTTAACTATTTCAACAGTAAAATTGTGGGGCCTAGATGCCAGTCTAGCAGCACGGATAAATACATGTAGCCGAGGTACCAGGGAAGAAAGCTCGTCACAGCAGTGGCCATGAAACTACTTGTAGAAAAGACAGAGGGAAGACATGTCATGACGTTGACTGAAGTTGAGATGAAAAGTCAGGATCTTTTACTTTGCAAATCCTTCTTTAATTTACAAATTTTTTAAGCATTTCACCCCAAGCAAGGCGGGAGTGCCACTAGCACGCAAGGGGTTACAGATGACTGAGAGCAAGAGTAAAGAGGGGGTGTTTGAGAAAAGGATATAAAGACCAGCGGGGATCAGAATCATGGCATCAAAAGATGTCAATTGACATTACATTCGAATATTTGAAGCAAAGGAGTTTCATTGTCAGGACGTGCGAGCGAAGAAATTGTTAGAGTAGAAGTGGCTGTTATATTTAAGTGTTTTGACATGGAAAGGGTTGGACCGAAATGCCAACCTAGTAGCAGGCTTAAATTCCTGCAGTCAGGCGACCATTGAAAATAGTTTGTTAGAGCAGTTGCCATGGAAATATTTGTAGAAAAGATCAAGGGAAGCTACATCACGTAGATGAGAAAGTGACTGTAGACGAGATGCCAGATCAGGGCCTATCACATTGCATATCCGTCACTGGATTTTGTCGATGACCTCGAGATGAACGGCGGGGGCATCAGTCCATATATGGCAACAGTATTCAGTGCTTCATCTAAGACGAAATATAATACAAATGAAGATGAAAGTAAGTCAACCATTAAAACGAATAGGTGATTATACTTCATCTAGTAGAAAATAAAATTAAGATTGAAGTAAACACTACATAAATTGATAGTGATTTAGAATTTTATTAAATTAAATAATATAAATTTTATTAAATTAAATAATATAAATTTTATTAAATTAAATAATATAAATTTTATTAAATTAAATAATATAAATTTTATTAAATTAAATAACATAGATTTTATTAAATTAAATAATATAAATTTTATTAAATTAAATAATATAAATTTTATTAAATAAAATAAAATAGAAATTAAGATGAAAACAGAATAAAAATAGACTTTGATTTGATTAACAATAAGAAATTGAAATATTTCTAATATTAAATCTATTCATTTGTGTATGGGGGTACGTCTCTGTATGTGCATTGTGTGTTTCCTTTATATGATCTGTAAAACCTGCGTCTTGTAAACGTCTTAGTGGAATAATTAGGATATAAAAATTCTAATTGTGTTTAGACCAATGCAACCGGGAATTATCGCAAGAAAATATTAATGAAACAAATATATTTTACAAATATATAATTTGAATTTATTGCTTATAATTTTAGTGAAACAAAGTATGAATATTAAACGTGATGAAATTAATATAATGAATATTATCAATGATAACAATTGCAATTTGCACAATAGACTTTTAAATAACGACAATAAGTATATGAAAGTTCCCCTAAAATCTAAGCTAATAAGAGTTGCCAAATAGCTAACTGCGAATTTTAAACCTACATATGTCATATAAGACGCAAAGAATTTTAAGATATTTTAGTGAAAAAAAGTGCGGCTGATATGCCGTCAAATATGGTAATACATTTGAACAAAATTTAGTAATTGGTACAGACTAGGCTATATTTATGAGGTATTATTTATGAGGTATTATTTATGAGGTATTATTTATGAGGTATTATTTTGGTAAAACAAGCCATGATTACAATTAAACGAAAAATAATAGGAAAAACACGAGCCTATAAAAACTTTATTATATCCTTTATATGGTCTGTACAACCTGCGTCTTGTAAACGTCTTATTGGATTAATTAGGATATAAAAATTCTGATTATCTCAAGAAAATATTAATGAAACAAATATATTTTACAAATATAGAATTTGAATTTATTGCATATAATTTTATTGAAACAAAGTACGAATATTAAACGTGATGAAATTAATATAATGAATATTATAAATAATAACGCTTTTTAATCTGCATAATAGCCTCTTAAATAACGACAATAGGTATATAAAAGTTACTCTAAAGTCTAAGCTAATAGGAGTTGCCAGGTAGCTAAGTTCGGGCGACTATTGCGAATTTTAAAACTTTATATGGCATATAAGACGCAGGGTAATTTTAAAAGATATTTTTAGTAAAAATAAGTGCGCCTTATATGCCGAAAAAATACGGAAAATAATTTGAAAAAAAAATAGGCGTGAAGTAGAGACAGAAAAAAAACTAAACTGAGAGAAGAGAAAAAAAGAGACAAGAGATGAGAGAGAGAGTGAGAGAGAAGAGAGAGAAATGTAGAACAAAAGAGAGAGAGAGCGACAAGAAAGAGAGAGAGAGAGAGAGAGAAGAGAACGAGAAGAGACATTGAGAGAGAGGGTTGAAAGAAGAGAGAGTAAGAGAATAAGAGAGATTGGGAAGAGTGAGTGAGAGAGAGAAGAAAGAGTGATTGAGAGTGCGTGAGAGAGAGCAAGAGGAATGAAATAAAAGAGAGAAGAGAACGAGAATGAAAGAGAGAGGGGTGAAAGAAGAGAGAGTGAGGGAAAAGAGAGAATAAGAGAAACTAAAAATAAAGTGTGAGAGAGAGAATAAAGTGTGCGAGAGAATGATTGAGAGAGTGAAGAGAAAGAGAGAGTGTGAGAGAGTATGATAGAAAGAGTGTGTGAAAGACTGAAAGAAAAGAGAGTGCGTGTGTGTATGTGAAAGAGAAGGAAAGGGAGAGGAAAGTGGGAAGGAGAGACCAATGGTTAGAAATATGGTAAGCCACAGTAAGTATCAAAAACAACATTCAACCTCTCTACCAAATATTCTAGCCTGTCTTCTCCGCCGGCTGGACAATGGTCAGCAAGGCCAAAAGATTAGCAAATAAAATAATGGACTGCAGGTTTTTTTTAGGCTTGTTTAAGTGGTCAGGATTTAATGCAAATACGCCTCGAGTGGTCGAAGGGTTGTCCATGAAGCAGATTTATTGATGTCTATGCTTAGAGGAGAAATAAATCTATTCAATAATTTCTATAGATTATTGATTTCAACAGTTTGTTTCTGATGTATTTATTATCACTTTGATAATCAAGTCATCATATATATATATATATATATATATATATATATATATATATATATATATGTATGTATTGAGTGAGAGAGAGAGAGAAGTTGATAGTAAGCGAGCTAGATAGCTATGAACTACTGAGCGATAGATATATATGAAAAAGCTGAGATAAAAAATACAGATAAATAAATAGATAAATGTTAGCAGTCTAAAATAGATTTGAGCAGATCTATCTATCTATCTAGATAGATAGATAGATAGATAGATAGATAGATAGATAATGAACTGATTGAGATAGATAGATAGATAGATAGATAGATAGATAATGAACTGATTGAAATAGATAGATAGATAATGAACTGATTGAAATAGATAGATAGATAGATAGATAATGAACTGATTGAAATAGATAGATAGATAGATAGATAGATAGATAATGAACTGATTGAAATATATATATATATATATATAGATAGATAGATAATTAACTGATTGAAATAGATAGATAGATAGATAGATAGATAGATAATGAACTGATTGAAATATATATATATATATATATATATATATATATAGATAGATAATTAACTGATTGAAATAGATAGATAGATAGATAGATAGATAATGAACTGATTGAGATAGATAGATAGATAGATAGATAGATAGATAATGAACTGATTGAAATAGATAGATAGATAGATAATGAACTGATTGAGATAGATAGATAGATAGATAATGAACTGATTGAGATAGATAGATAGATAGAGAGATAGATAGATAATGAACTGATTGAAATAGATAGATAGATAGATAGATAGATAGATAGATAGATAGATAGATAGATAGGTGTGAGGAAACTAATATAGATAGATATGAGCAGACTGAGATAAGTAGATTTGATCAAACTGAAATACACCTTATCTGAAGTTATTAAGTAAATGATATGAACTTCAATAATTCAAATTTGGCTTGAAAAAATATTGTCAAATTCTTAACACCCAATTTAGATACCAAAACAAAGCCTGGCTTAAAATTTTAGGTATTATCAATATATTTTATTGAAGTTATTTGATGTATTCTAAAAAAACTGTCATCTGAAGTTATTAGGCCAAACCAAACAATCGCATTTTACTTTAATAAAAAGGTTTCAAAATCATTAAAAAAATGAATCAACACTTATAATAGAACAAATAACAAACATATAATTCTTTGAATCCTTTACATTTTAATATAGTTAAATTTCTTCTCAATAACAGCCAGTCATCTATCATCCATTAATTTTTTTTTGTTGCTTCAGCAGGTTCAATTTCTAACATGATGGGTTTAATGGCTTCCGCTAGCTCTGCTTTGCTGTTATATTGTTTGCTACGTTCTTATAATTTCATCTTCACAAATGACCATAAAATTTTGATCGAATTCAGCTCAGGACTTAATGGTGGAAATTTTGCTATCTTCCCTTCTGTAAATCTTTTATGCTCAAAGAATTAATGGTTAAGCTTAGATACATCAGAAGGAGCATTGCCGTGCTGAAATACACAGTTCTCTTTGAAATCTGCAAGACTGGGACTTGTACCATGCAAAGAAAGTTTAGTTTATAAAATCACAATAGCTAGCACTGTTCCCAGCGGATAAAAGCTTTGGTTGGATGCAGTGACTTGACCCAAAGTGTTGTGAGTTCAGTACCTGTGACGAACAAAAAATAGTTAACAAAAACTTGGAGGGTTGAGACATCCGGAAGAGGTATGGCACATGGAACTAGAACAATCTATCCCGGTGAACGGAATAAAGGGTTCATTACGAAATTCCACCTGAAGAAAGCCGGGCATTGCAACGACCGAAACGTCGTGAATATAGTAAAAAAAGATGATGACAGTAGCCCGAACAATGTTCTGGTTCTTCAGAAAGATGTTGAGAATACTATGGACTGAACATGCGAGTAATGAGGAAGTTTTGGGGAAAGATGGAAAAATGGATACTTATGTTTAGAGACAACAGCGATTTCTCGGCCACATAATTAGGAACTTGTATTATTTTAACACCGACTTGACATATTGAATGCAAGAGATACAGGGGGAGAGGGAAGCAGGACATTATCCAACTTATGAGAACAGTACGGAGTTTAAAAAAAGATAATGCTTATTATGAGGCACAAGGAACAGGAAGATGTCGAGAGCCATGATCAAAAACCCATTGTAGGGAGAAAGGATACAGAGAAGGATATATATATATATATGTTTTTATTGCTAGCATCCAGACATTTGTCCGTCCATCATTTATTACCACTTTGATAATCGAACCATTACACACACACACACACATACATATATATATATATATATATATATATATATATATATATATATATCCTTTTTGATCAGACACTGCAATTATGTTTCAATCTATTTTTATAATGCTTATAAAATCTAAAAATAATAGTTTCTTTTAAGCGTTAGGTGTGTTGATTCAGGTGCCTGTGTGTATAACTTGACTCACTGCACACGCAAATGAATTTAATTACTTTGGCAATGTCAGTGTTTATATAAACCACCCTGGAATTTCCCTCAGGTATTGAACGCCATTTTTATTTTATCACCTTTCTCGTCTTTGCAACCTTGGTTTAATGCTAATCAGAATTGATTAGTCACAAACATAATAGGTGTCATTAAAATCAAAATAGTAGTGATTTATTGAGCGGTGCACACAGCAAAAACTTGTAAAGGAATGACTTATTAATTTCACTCGCTTATTGATTAATGAACGTTGTTAATTAGACAAGATCTTTCAGGTGGGTTCGATTGTTTGATAAGTAACACAGACGCTAAATTGAAATATCATTGCAACGCTGTCTACCCTTTTGTTATTCTTTCTGACATTTTTTTAACATCCTTTCAAAAAAAAAAAAAAAAAAAAAAAGGGCCATTTTGAAATCTACTAAGAATGCAGATCTTAAAAGCCGTTGAGAGAAAAAAAGTCTCTCACTTCTAATCAAATAAAAATAGTATCTTTATGCCGAGGTAGGAATAATCAAATAAATATTAATTTTAAGTTAATTACGATGACATTGGGATTGTTATACTGTCTTTGAAAATATTTAATCCAAGCTTGGTCCAACAAAAGTGAACAAGAAAATTGTCCTTGTGCCAAGGTCGGCCATGAGAAATACATATCTGTTTCACAGCACTTATCATGGCTGGGGCCTTTTTATTTTGACCTTGCATATATTTGTGTCAAAAATTGAGTTATCAAAGAGAATTGGCCTTAATGGCAAGGTTGTCAAAGAAGTAACAATTTTAGGACACTTATAGTGTCAGTTAGTTATGTGCAATGCTTAGGCGATCATGTATCTTTCGATACATGACTGACGAGGCAGATTTTTTCCCACAACAGGTTGCCATTTCTTTCTCCGGTAGACCAGTTGCCATCCAAGACTATAGAACCCAGTCTGTCCTGCTATTTACTCATAGTTCGGGGAAGAAAGCGAGGATTCATACCTTTCCCAAGGGTATTAGCATGAATTAGTGAATGTAATGGATCAGACTGGAATTTGAACTCGGCTCTCTGATTCATCAATCCGAGACGCTATCCATTATATGACGTATTTGAGATTATGCTTGAATATCCAACAGTGGTCAAGAAAATTAGCCTTGTACAAAAATTAATCCTGATAAATACATTGGAAAGCATATGGAGCTGAGCTAGTGAAGCTTGACATATCCTTAGTGCTTCCGGGAAAGCGTCCTTGTATTAAGATCGATCTTATCTAATGTCATTTGGGAGTGCTTATGATGTTTCTGTAATTAGGTCTCTGATAAAAGTATCCATCTTCCAGAATTTGCCATATTAAAAAAAATATCCGTTCATAGCACGTTTGCGAGGGTCACCCGGACGTGGTATAATGTTTAACTCGTGTGATTGCTCGTAATAAGTGGAAGCGTGTCCTCAATGAATCAAAGGTACTGTTCGTTGATAGAATGAAACAATATATAGCATCGCGCAAGTTCGATTTTAAAGGCTATTCGAGGCTCTGTAACAAGAACAAATCCTCAACCCATCCCCTATTCAATCAATTCGAAGTCTTGGCATCTATAGGAGATAAGGTTGAATGTTTCGCTCGTGAATTCTCATCCAGCTCAACACTCGACTCATCTGGAGTACACACATCAGATTTTCTCCTAAAACTGAGTCTCTACTGACTGATATGCGTATAACCCCGTCAGTGGTCTCGGGCATCATTTCTAAGTTGGACTCACACAAGGCAAGTGGAGGTGACGGAATATCAATGGTCGTCCTAAATTAAGGTACTCCCGAGCTGGGTTCAGTTATCTCCAAACTATACAACTATTGCTTCGCTGCTTCATGCTTTCCAGATTGTTGGCAGTCCTTGGCTGTAGTCTCAGCCTTTAGGAACTCTGGAGAACCTTTTGACCCCTAGAACTACTGCCCTATCAGTCTCCTACCAGTATTCAGCTTTAAGCTTTCGAAGTTTTAATCAATGCTAAAATGCATCTTACATCTAACGACCTACTTTCTGATAAACAATATGGCTTCCGTTATGCCCTGTTTACTGCTAACGTGCTTACAGCCATAACTGAATATGTATATCAGACTCTTGATAATAATGGCAAAGCTTGTGCTGTGGTTCTAGATATCTCATAGGCATTTGACAGTGTTTGGCATGCTGGTCTTCTACGTAAACTTCAGGGCTATGGTATCATAGGATAATTATTTGCGTTAATACAATTATTCCTATCTAATTGTTAACGGGCTCGCTTCCAGATCCTTTCACACGAACCCGGGTGTCCAACAAGACTCTATCCTGGGTCTTACACTATCCCTGATCTTTATCAATTCATCTTCCTGCAGATGACACTATTTACCATTTACTCCTGTCTCAGTAGTAAATCCGTCAGCGCTGACATAGTTAACATGGCCGCTGCTTTCGAAAAGGACCATCAATCAGTGGTTAACTAGGGAAGGAAATGTCTTGTAAATTTTAAATGCTTTCAAAACTAAACTGCGCTCATTTAACCACCAGAGATAAACTTCCCTGTTCGTCATGGGCGCGGCTGAAGCTCGACTCCAGCAGCGTGTCTCATTGTGTCTTCTTGGCCCCACCTATTCGACCGACTTAAATTGGAACAACTACATTGAATCGATAGCTGTATCTACTGCAAGGAATATTAATTCATTGTGTCGTGTCAGAAGGTTTTTCTTGTCAGCATCCATCTTACACAAATACAAACTCACTATTCGTCCGTGCATTTAATACGGTTGCTATATATGATGTGGTGCCCCTGCAGCTTGACAAAATCCAAAGAAGGATCTGCAATGTAATGGATCCAGACTTGGTATCTCGACTTCAGTCACTTTCCCACAGACTTGATGTGGCTTCTCTCTGTCTTTTCTACAAATATTTTCATGGCACCTGTTCTAAGAATCTGGTGCCCCGACAACATGAACTTGCTACTAGATTGGCATTTTATTTTTGAAATAGTTAAATATAAACCACTGCTTCTACTCCAGCAGTTTCTTTCCTTGCACTTCCCGACAGGGGAACTCCCTCCGCTTACTTGCTTCCCTGATAACTACAATCTTTAAAAATTTAAATTCAATGTCAATAGCCATTTTCTGTTTTCTTGAACACCGTTCCCCTTTTCTCCTTTGCTCAATCCCCTCTCCCCAGTCTTTTCTTTCACTTTCACGCTCTGTAGCCCTCAGCGTACTATTGGCACTACCGTCATGCTTGAGGGGAATTGCTTTACAATAATACTGATTAGCTACAAAGGTATGTCTTTTAGATTTATTTACATGACCACAAAGTGAAGGACCAGTTTATACATTGATTGTAATATAGAATTGAACCCTCACTTTATATCTACAT